TTGCTTTTATATTTATTTTAGTTTAACAATAATGGATAATTGAAAGTTTATAATTAAACTTTAACCAAATGAAATATTTATTGGAGAATAATAATAGCATTAATTATAATTACTTATAATAATAATAATGTAAATAAGTAACACTAATTATATATTTATAAAATAATAAATATGAATTAATATAAATATAAAATAATTTTATCCTGATTAATAATTAGCATTATTAAAATATCTATTAATTATCATTAATTAATTAACATTTTGAAGTAATAATTATCATTGTTATAATTAAGGAATTAATTATCAGTAAGTAATTTTAATCAGTAATTATATTTTATCAGAAATCATTATTATTAGTAATAATTAATTATAATTATTGATAATAATAATGTAAATATATAATTATATTAATTAATTTAAGTATTAATTATAATTATTGATAATAATAATAATATAATTAATTATTTCATATAAATATATGAATTATAATTTCTGATAATAGTTCTAATATAAATATTTAACATTAAACGTTTATTTTCAAAATAAGTAATATGAGTTAATATAAATATAAAATGATTATTTTCGAATTACTAATTACTATTATGAAAATCGTTATTAATTATCATTCCGAATTAATAATGAGAAATATTATCAGTAATTATTTAATATCAGTAATTAAGTATTAGCAATAATTATTATAAGAAATTATTATCAGTAATTAATTATTATCAGTGAGTTATTATTATTAGTAATTAATAGCTGAAATTAATTAATTAGAAGTTATTAATTATTATTAGTACTCCTCTCTTTCAAAAAGTTGACTCGTCATCATAATCATCAATGACAACAACTTGGTAAATACATAATTTGATAAAAATAGGTAAATATCATTAATTTATTTATTTTTTATCTTTTAAAAAAACTGAATAAGAAAAAAATAAAATGATTAACATTGCAAATGAAAAATTATTATTAGATTTCAGTTTCCTTTTTGCCATTGCTTGTGCGCATGCACCGGTATATGCTTACATATAGATATGTACTCATCTGAAAAAGACTATCATAGGAGATATTTTTGCAATTTTAACTTGTACTTTTACGAAATTAAAGGGATAAATAGACTACAGTCCAGTTCAGAAATCTGAAATTACAACCCCACCTAATCTATTAATAACCCTTTATAAATTGTATCCTAGCTATGAATTTGATAGTTAGGATTCATTCCAACTGTAAGGTGGGTTCAGATTTTTGGAGTGGGTTGAACTATAAAAACTCCAAAATTTTAAATGATCTGAGATGGGGCCTACATGCAGCCAAAACTCTTGCCATCAGATTTGAGAAAACGAGGACTATCCTCAAGCTAATATCATTCAAATCCATGGTCCAGAATTGGGTTCTAAATTTGGAGAGAAAGTACACCTGTACTTTTTATATCCAAACAAGGAGGTCAAGAATTCAATTGATAAAAGTAAGATGGTATGTCAACCAAACCTTACTTGCTTGTGGGCTTGTGCAAACTTGTAAAGTTATTTATTATTTTGGTTGACTTCATAATTGTACTAAATTAATGGGCCAGAGAAGTGTTTCATGAATGATGAACTTTGAATGATGGTTTTGATACTGACATGGAGCTTAAAAGTCAGCCTGTGACACTGACACTAACCATTCAAATCAAGAATCCATAATGCCTATTTTTAATGGTTTGAGCTTAATTTTGGGTCCGTTTGGCATGCCTTACTGTACGGTTTTTTCGCTGTTTATAAATCGGAAAGATGGTTTTTTGGTTTATTTCTGTTTGACTCGTGGAAGATTTAATTGTCAAAAGACAGGGTACCGAAAAGATGTAAGAAGCCCATTTCAGGCTGATTTCAGGAAGTTTTAATGAAATTTTTCATGTCTTTTGCATTTTATTCTCGTATGGAAAGACATGCATCTGCCAAACATATTTCAGACTGCTCAGATTTTATGCAAAAGATCAATATATCTTTTGCATGTCAAAGCTATTAGAACATCTTCCCAAAAAAGCACACCAAACAGGCCCTTTATTTCTGGGGCCAAAGTGTTTGCCCATTATGTCAGAGTACTATGTTTCACGCATATACTTTCAAGTTTCAAGAAATAACTAAGGCTATGTTTGGTTTTATGGAAAATAAGAGAAATAGAAAGTTGTTTGTAAAATTTTCAAGGAATTTTACAAATTTTGTTAAGAATATACCCTCAACTTTCTCTTTTTCTCTTATTTTTCTATTAAGTTAACCATAGCTTAAAAGATTATTAGAGTAGTTAATTCATTTTAATGGTTCTTGAACCTCTAAGAGGGCACTAGTGTATTTTTGTTTACGGAGAATATTAAAACACAATTCAACGAAAAATAGTTTAGGAAGCATAAAAGACAAAATCTCAACATCATTAAACATGGAAAATTTTAAAGTTAGGTATTCTAAAGTATACTTGTCTGGGTCAGGTAGAGTTATACTCTTGGGCAGTCCTTCCCGAGCCTGGATTAATCCAGTTTATAATAATTTTACATGGATTGGGCATGGATTTTCAGTCATCAGGAAGGACTTGGGCCCAAAAATTTGAGCTCTTTTATTTTTAGGGCAAGACCAGGCCTAGCCTTTAAGTAACCCGAATTCAATATAAGGACCTATTGATCAACCTAAGCCCAACCTAAATGCATCAAATTATCCGAATCGAAAAATTCGAGCTTTACCTCAGAGTTAGTCCTTGGGCCTAATTCTTGGGAATGGGCCTGGGTCCAGCCCCGCCTGACTTGCACCCCTATGAACTCGACCTTGTAAGTAAATGTATGAAAAACTAGCTCTGAACCAAACTCTCGACAAGGTCTTAATCGGATTTATTGGATCTAATTTGACAAAACCCAATTACAATTTACAGCAATACTCTTAATTTTACTTTGACAATAAACCTATTTATTTATTGAATTGACAAAACTGACACTAAGACATCATACAAGGATAATATTAGATATTTATCATGAGAAAAATAATTATTTTTAAGAGTAAAAGATTCTTCCATAATTATATAAGGAATTGGCAAGTAGTAAGACGGCATCTATATTCATCTTTTATTAAGATTCACATTATTTTATTTTGTTTTAAATATACCAGGAATAAAAATGTATACAAAATTCAGGAATATTCCGAATGGAAGGCTGCTACAGCTGTGAGTACGGTGTGGGGATAGATTTATTTTGGGGATTTTTAGGGTTCAGTGCACCTCAGAATTGGGAAATTGTTTTCCCAAATGTATTTATGAAAACACTATCCCTGTGAATTTGGCATTTTTCCCTCTCTATATTGGAGCTCAGATTTCCTACCCACTCTCTATCTGCAGTGAATTGGAATCATATATCTCTCAATTCATAATAGAGATGTGTGGCTCTAATTCACGATGGATGAGAAAAGTGAGTAGGAAATCCCGAGTGTCTATATTGACCTATTGAATTGTATATTCTGAGGTGGAGTGGACGATTAAAACCCCTAGATTTTGTGCAAGGATAAAATCCAAATTCTTAAAAAGATGGGACAGGAACATAAAGTACTACGTATTGGTTTGAACTTTGAAGGACAAAAGTACCCATGCCCTCTGGTCTGATTTTCATTTCTCACCACCACTGACAGGGGTGTTCTCGTCTTTTTACTGGGAGGGCTTCAACAATTAAAACTGGGATGTGCCCAATTCACCACTGTATTTGCAAAAAGAAAACTTAGTTGCATATTTGCATAGCTTACCTTGTTGGGGTCTCTAACAGTTGAAGTTTGTTTGAGAAAGAGAGAAAATGGTGAATTTCGGGAAGATTTGGACAAGGAAGACATTGATAGGTCTTGGACTCGGGCAGTTCCTCTCGCTTTTGATCACTTCTACCAGTTTTTCTTCCTCTGAGCTTGCCAGAAGAGGTCTGTTTAATTTCTACGACCTTTTTTGATTCAGGCAATTTTATTTTCTTTCTATACAGTAGAACATTTTGTTACAAAAAGCTTTGTTTTTCCATTTTCAATATTTCGTTTTCTTTTTAATTCTCCTATACATCTTTTTCAATTCTGTGCCTTCAGATTCCATTGCTAGCTGTAGATGATGTTTCTCTTTCCATGTTCAAATCCATTTCAATTTTTAAGATCTCTCTCTCTCTTGTTTATGGGTTTTAACATCCTATAAACTGATTATAATCAAAACCTCCATTTATTGTATTTCTTTGGATAGTTAGTTGCTTCATTACTTGGTTTTAATCTCCTTTTCCAATATCTTTCATTTGGGGTCAAACCCATAGCAAATCGTTTTCTTCTTGTCATAGTTGGTTTCTTTTTGCACATTAATTTTACTGTTTTATAGGTATCGATGCGCCAACATCCCAGTCTTTTGCCAATTACGTGCTCTTGGCGATTGTCTACGGAAGCATACTGATCAATAGAAAGAAATGGCTAAAGGTTCTCTCTCTCTCAAGCAAATCCATGCAAATGCACCTGAGTTGAATAAAAATTTGGTTAGATTTGGATTGATAAATTTGGGTTTTGACATCGGTTTAATTCTAGACGAAGGTCCATATTTAGGGTTGGTTTTGGTTTGGCACTTAACCCTATCTAATCTATCTAATTTATACCCATGTTTTATTAGAGAAGATCAAAAGGGATTCACAGATATTTAAGAGAAAATAAAGGATTTAATGGAGAGAGGAGATATTACAAACACTGACTGTTAACATTAAACAGAGAATCAAAGAGGAAGATTTAAGAATAATTTTATTAGAGAAGAGATAGGTTTTAATAAAGAAATTAAGACATATGAGGGTTTAATTTTATGAGAGACATAGAAGGGGAGATTTTCTATGGGTTGCATAGAGCTTTTTCTACCATAGGTCAAGCCCAAGTTTCCAATTCCAAATCCCAGTCTATAGCCCTAAAATCCAAGCTTCACTCATGAGAAACCTCGGGTGTGTTCAGGTTGGGCCCACAGAATTTCAAGCCATTACTCTAACCCTTGTTGTGTTGGGCTAACATGACTCTACCACCATTGCTAAGGGTATATGTGGTATTTTTCTCCTGTGTAATTAAATTTATGATCTACACAAGTATCCTTCATTTGACTTTATTCCCTAATTGGGGCAGAAATGTCATTTAAAAATTTATCATAGTTATAACACTTATGGGATAGAAGAATTGAGAACTGTAGTCATCAGCGAAAAAAAGTAATGGATCTATTCTTCATCTCACAATGCTAATTGTGCATTGGTGGATCTTCATTTAATCAACTATATGTATGTTTTACACGCAAACAAAGCAAAAACCGATAAGAGGGTGATAAAAAACATTTAAATTTTTAATTTTTTATTATATTTCTTTAAATGTCTTAATTCAATTATTAGACTAAAAGATTAAATTATTGGGAGAATGACGATTCGGCCCAGGGTCAAAACTTTTAGGCCCAAAATACAGTGGGGTAGGTGTCAGCTCGGAGTTGATGCCAATTCATGAGCGGGCATTAATGTATAGACTGAAGATTGTTGATATTTTGAATGTTTATAGCTTTACAGTGAAATTCAGAAATCTACATTAAGCTTATCCATACTTTTTCGTAAAATATTTGAACAATCATCATTTGCAAGCATTCACATTTTACGATATTATTAAATTTTTTTTTAATTTCTTTTGATTTAGACATAAAACCAAGGCAAATAACGACATTCTGACATTGACCCAATTCAAATTATAAGAGTGAACATGTGTTAAACAATGGGAGCTTATATATATATATTATATAAGGAGGAGGAGAAGAAAAAGAAGATGGGTCATACTCGTATAATCTATGAAGCTCTCTCATCGTTAGGTAAAAATCAAAGGTTTTTCATTCTTTAACCTAACCTAATGATAAATACACACAAAAACTGTCAGCCATGTATAAAAGTACATAAACCCGTTGATTCGTAGCCATTAAAAAAACCGGAGAAATCTACCATACCGGAGGCCGAAAGGCCTGATAACTCAATAAAAAAATTCCTGTAAATTATGATTAATACCACCTGATTTGTCACCTCTTTTATGATATCAGTTGCTTGTAAGTTTTTCTGATATTATCATTATCGAGGTAAGAAGATTTTAGTCAATAGGAACTCATCATTACACGTGTTATCACTACAAATTCGTGCCTTTCCACAAACTCCTCACCATGCTTTTTAAAAACGAATCAGTCAGGGTCCGGTTATCAGTTCGAACGGTCCGACCATTCAACCTGAACAGATGGCCTGTTCTGACAAAAAAAATTAAAAAAATAAAAAATTAGAAAACGGCCAAAACCATTCAAACGGTTAACCGGCCGATTCAGTGATTTGCTGATCAAAATCAACGGTTTTGGAGGAAAAAACAGTTTTGGAAGAAAACGGAACCCATCAAATGACCGATTTCCGGTTTTTCTGGTCTGGTCCTCACAGTGCTCCTCACATTAATAAGGGCTGAATTAACTGAACTGAATGCTTATTATTTGTCTTATATTGAATAAAATATTTAAACTATAAAATAATCTTGAATAACAATTTCAGTTTTAGTAGGTACTAGGTAAGGGTGCAAATCAGGTGCCTGACTTGAGGAATTTACAGCATTGGGCCTGGTCTAGTCAAATTTTGGCAAATGTTCAACCCAAGCCTGAGTTGCAGCCCTATTAGTCGGGCTCATAACTTCTTTAATAACTTATTTAATAAAAGAAAAAAGGCAGTAGGCTTCTTTAATAATAAATATTAATTAGGGTAAATGACTTAAATATGCCTCGAGTTTTCACTAGTTCACCTAAACATACCTCAATCAGTTTTTAAAATAGACTTAAGTATATCTTGTGGCTGATCCCACTGGACTTAAACATACCTCTATCAGTGAAATAAAATGTCACATGTGATGATGATGATGAATAAAAAAGAATATGTGAAAAAAATGAGAAAATGTATTAGTGTTAAAATTAGAGGATAAGGTTAGAAATGGAGTCACTCAAAAATGAAAAAATGTAGATTAAGATGGTCTGGTTATGTCCATAGAAGATCTTCATTTGTAAGTACCTGTAAAAAGCGATCTGTTTCAAGTTGAAGGGGGATAAAAGGGGTATATGGGTAGACCAAACAGGACATGGATTGAAGTAGTAAGAGATGATTTTAAGCACTAATAATTTAACCAGAATGGAATGGTGAAATAGGATTAATGTAAGGAATCCCATATACTTGGGATAAGACTTAATGATGATGATGATATGGATTTGCATCAATGGTTCTTATCTGAATAGAGTGGATATAAGTTTGGGTGATGACCCGTTGACCACTATCAACTATAAAGCTTTTATGTATATATAGTTTATATATTATGCTTACATATTTATTCACATACTTGGTAAGATTTTAGTTGTATTTAATATTTTTAAAATGGATTTATCAGAACCAATTTAGCTGTGGAAGTAGATATGTTTGCCTTTTGTAGCCATCTCATAATTCCTTTGTTTTTATTTTTGTTTTATATATTTTAAATTTTCAATCAGATATCATGTGTCCCATCTACCCAAAATTGTTTTTTGCCTGCCCCTTTGACTATAATAGTCCCACTTTTATGTATCAACTCAATTTAGTAAATAGGCAACTAAATTAGAAGATAAGAACCATTATCTTTTGACCATTAAATTTATCACTATTTGTTTTCTTTAACAAGTTCTTCAAGGTGCAGTAATCCATATTAATTGTGTTCATGGACTGAGTTTGTGTGTGCATATATTTCATATTAGACTTCTTCCCAAACTCTCTTAATCTACTTTTTTTTTCTTTTGTAATTCTAAAGATAAAGTGATTCAATGTAGAAACTCCTAATTATCTTTTTGTTTTCATCACTATCCTATTATTATCTCACTTAGATATCTATTATATATTTTGCTTTTAATTGAAATTTATCTATCTTCTCTATTTTGTTTATGCAGGCAAAATGGTACTATTACTTTCTACTTTCTTTCGTTGATGTCGAAGCCAATTTTCTTGGTGAGTCTAACATAATAAAACATAGTATGAAATGAACACTGAAACATGATCATATATTATGTACCCTTCTATTATGCATGGAAAAAATCTTAATTTCTAAACATTTTATAAAAATTCATGTATTATTATTATGTGATGTAAGTATCCACAAAAATTACCCTCTTAGCCTTGCTTAATAAACCCTCAATATTTGTTATAGAAAATGTATTATTAAGTTAGATAATCATCATTTTCTTGATTTTCCTATTAAAGTTGAATGAGGATTCATGTAGGCTTGGAATCATCTTAGCTTTAGCTTAAAGTTTAAAATTTGGAGTTGATTATTTTTAATTCATTTTATGCAGTGGTGAAGGCCTATCAATATACATCAATAACAAGCATCATGATGTTAGATAGTTGGATAATCCCATGTGTCATGTTCCTCACTTGGGTTTTCTTAAAAACTAAATATCAAATCAGAAAGTTTGCTGGCGTAGTAATTTGTGTTGCTGCGACTATTTTGGTTGTCTTTTCAGATGTCCATGATAGTGGTCGGGCAGGTAAACTTTCCATTAATTACTGCATTTTTTTTGTTTATACTCATACTCATGTTATTTCTAGGTTTTCTAACATAACCTTTCCTAACCAAATAACATTATCATCTTCTTAGTATGTGTTTGGTTCGTTTAGTTTTTTCATTCAACATTTGTATTTTATTTGCTTATAAAACCGAGAAAAGTAATAATTAAAACTGTTTATGACAATTAGGCACCACATCATCATAACAGTTGATGAGGGCGGATTTGGCCCTCCAATAACATCATGACACATGCTATCTTGGAATAGTTGGATGACATAGACACCACCTAAGCAATGACTTGGAGTCCCAAATAGTGATTTCTCTTCGCCCTGACCTGGCGACTTGCCTTCACCACCAACCTGGCGACCTTGACCACAACTCAGGTCGGCTAGAAGCACCTCGTCTAGGGCCGACCTATAGCACCTCGTCACTGGCCGAAGTGACATCGACGCAAGAAGCAACCTCCCTCGAGGTCGTACTAGCCTGACTGAGGTCCAGGTGGCGACCTGCGAGACGTGCTCGCTAACAAATTCGGCATGCATATCCCAACACTCCCATGTTTCTCGGAAGTTGGCCCACGTACTGAATGTTCTAGATGGTGGTCAACGTGCATGGTGGTTACCTCTGAGGATTTTGGACCGGTTAGGTACGACCTCCCAGAAATATCAGATGCGGTGTGTGAGGCCCATACCGAACAATGCCTATATAAAGGCACCAAACCTAGAGACCCAGGAGAGAAGGTATGCGAGATTATTTGCTCACTAGCTCTCTCTACACTCAAGCTTTCAGCTCGCAACCAAGATAACACAATACTGACTTAAGCATCGAAGCGACCTCGCCAGGTTAGCCACCCCGGGTTCTTTGATCTGTTTTCTTGTAGTTCGAACCAGCTCACTATGCAACCAACTTCCAGGTCATCTTCCAGCTAGGAGCTTCCAGATCGTGCATCATCAATTGGTGCCATCTGTGGGAATACGCTACAAGAAGCTAAGTTGTCACCTTCTAAAAGGTTAAGTCCTCATCTTCCAGAAAGCTATGATCTCACCTTAAAAAAATTAAGTTCTCTCTCTAATTTCCATATTTTATTAACTCAATGGCATTTTTAAGCAGCACTAACATAAAAAACGAAGAATCAATTACCGGGGGGCAAGAACATTTGTGGTGAACCTTGAGAACCCCTCCC